CCGCGTTCGGCACCCATAAAGTGAAACAGAACGAACTGCCGCGCAGTATACTCGTCCTTTTAATGATAGACGGATATCTCGCATTCGCCATAGGTGACGTAAGTTGGTAAAAGCCAAACGAGCTTTTCGAATCCGTGCTGATTTCGTCAGACATCAACCCGTTAGGGCTGATCATACTTCCAAGATAAGTGAAGTTGTCGACGCGTTCGACTACTTCACTCCCTATCCTTAGTTCAGGTGTTGACGCAGGCCATTCCTGAAGCAATAACGTGCATTTAGAGTGGAAGAAACGCATGCATACAAAGGTAAATATGTACGGCATGAGGGAAATGCCTGCACCCTAGGGTGACAGTGAGTCATGATCTTGGTAACATGCCCCACTGCCGGGAGGTTGCAGCTAACGAGTTTAGAACCCTAAGGGCATTAAGACGGACATTCATCAAGTTAGATACTACTATGTTAACCACAGTATACAAAACCTTAGTGAGAATTAAGCTTGAAAACTGAGTTCAGGCTGCAATCGCCTGTTTAGAAGGCGACTCAGATATCCTGGTAAATGTACAGGGGTCAGTTACATATTGAATTCCAGGACTTCGATGTTTACCATACAAAGAGCGGCTTGAGAAGTTACACCTCTTTACTCTGTCCTAACGCAGATCAGGAGGTGGCCTGATTTTGATGTATAGAATTCTAGGAACTGATTTTGAGCCTAGTGAATCCTCTCTTTTTCGTCCTGCTAGATCAAGACATCTCAAGTGAAATCGTAGGCAAGTAGAGAAGCCAAGAAGGAACAAATTACTCGTGGAATACGGGATTTTAAATCAAGTCATCAATTCTTAGAACCTGTTATTCGAAGCAGTGGTGTCTGCGCCTTCAATTGACTTATTCAAGAGAAGACTATGCACTCACGGAAGCATGCCAGAAAAAGGATAACAAAGGCCATAAGCCTTTTGTTCTCACTACACAAATCTGAATCTTCGGCGAGTTTATATAAAAGCCAGTGTTATTCCTCGTTGACTTAAATTTACGGTTTTGATCGTGAATTAATGCTTTCACTTTAATTGAATTTATTTCGGTTAAAGTGAGATTTTACTTGTGTGCATTGACTTTGCTTTAGTGTATTTACTGCATCAAAACATACTTGATCGACTTTGACATGATTTGTTCGGTGAAGGTTTGAATTTTTTGTTTACATATCCGTTTTTGTGTTACGATTTTCAATTAATTTTTCAGATGGTTGGCTCTCTCCACAAATGTGGGCAACCTTCCTTGTGGAAGAAGGAATGCAATATGATGAGTTTAAGAAGTGGTTCCATAAGATGTGTGCCCACTAAAATCCTATTGGCTTTGTGTTTTTTGTTGTTTGGGCGAGACATTACTCATCCAAAAAACAACCAGCCTTCTGGCGTTGGCCGACAAAAAGGTTGATAAGGCCTGTACCGGTAACATGGGTACTGATAGCGAAGAATGCATCAATGTCGTAAGTGCTGTTACGGCACATGCCAGACACCGGACTGTGCAACACACAATAAGCACTCCCACCCCGAAATGACTAATGAGCGATACGCCATTAGATAATGCAATCGAAACTGCTACAGCAGCGACTAATGACCTAGACAAAACCATTATCATCTCCAGTAGTACTAATGTAAATGCTACAACTGATAGTAAATGGATGACACGGCAACATACAAAAGAACGAAAGATAGCCGAAAATAGCACCCGTTTACTTGAAAAAATCTTCGTGGGTTCACGTTCTGCGTTGCACATTACGTCGCCGAAGTCCCAAAGTAAGAAGCGTAAAGAGCCACCGTCAATAAATCCTACTCACTACCTTCTCGCTGCGGGAATATTGTTTATGAAATCGAGAACCAGTGCAAAATAAGGTAGTATGGCTATAAATGACGATATCAAAACTACATAATTCAAATATATTACAGCAAACAGTTTGATATAATTAGCTTATCAGTAGTCATAAACCGACAAAAGTAAATGTTACCGAATAATAAAAGGTACTTAGATTTCTGACCAGTCTATGAGTAATCAAGTTATTTCACTCCTAAGAATTATTTGAATGAATGTTTCATATCAACGTTTATACCAAGCACACTGAATCCATATATCTTACGCTTATGACTGACCAGTGCATACCTTTAAGATTCTAAAATTCAGATATTACATTAGCATTCGACTCTGTTGATCGTGAGGTTCAATGGCAGTGTTTGTCCCTGAAAGGAGTGCCAAAGAAGTACATTGACCTTGTAAAGGCTCTCTACTCGAACACAACTGGTAGAGTGAGAGCTTATGGCGAACTGTCATCAGAATTGATTACCTCGAGTGATGTTTGTCAGGGCTGTCCACTCTCTCCCTTCTTGTTTAACTTTGTCGTTGATGTGCTTTTAGAGATAACATTTTACACATCAACATTTTCAGGGGTTGAACTGCTACCAAGAGATTCACTTGTTCACTTGGAATATGCCGATGACATAATTCTATTTGGTGAAGACGCTGACAAAATGCAGTCTTTTGACCACTCTAAGCAACAATGCAAGCATGTTCGGGATGCGATTCTCTCCCTCGAAATGCAAAATGTTGCTTCAGGATTGGGTTCCATCGACACCCGAACTAGTGATAGGGAGTGAAGTAGTTGAGTGTGTCGACCGCTGCACTTATCTTGGAAGTCTCATCAGTCCTTGTAGTCTGGTGTGTGACGAAATCTCAGCACGGATACAGAAGGCTCGACTAGCTTTTGCCAACTTGCGTCATTTATGGCGCAAGCGAGATATCCGTCTATCAACCAAAGGACGTGTTTACTGCGCAGCAGTTCGTCCCGTCCTACTTTATGGCAGTGAAACATGGCCGGTAAGAGTAGAGGATATTCGTAGGTTACTAGTATTTGATCATAGGTGTCTTCGAAACATTGCTCGTATATCATGGGACCATCGAGTAAGTAACGCAGGTGTTAGGAAACGGGTACTAGGTAAGGATGGCAAATCAATTGATGAAGTAGTGAAAATTCATCAGTTGAGATGGCTGGGACACGTGTTACGTATGCCCAACGACCGACTGCCTCGACGTGCGATGTTCAGTGGTATAGGAGTAGGTTGGAAGAAAGCTAGGGGCGGCCAGACCAAAACATGGCACAAGTCCATGAATTCATTGACAAGTGGACTGAGTCATGTTGGTAGGTGTAGACTACCTGGTTGGGGACCGCGAGATGATAGCATCCGATGGTTAGAGACTCTGAATGACATGGCTCAAAATCGTTTGCAATGGTGCAGGTGCATCCACTCTTTGTGTTCTCCCAAATTCTAATCTCTTGATTCCTCCTTGTCCCTTTTTTCTCTTCCCAAATTTATTTCACTGGATTATACTCTTTAAATAACATCTCTAAACCCTAATCTTTCCGATTACTGCTTATACTCTTACTAGCTATACCACTACGGGATTTGAATCGACAACTGCATCTCTGTGCTAATGTGGTGTGGCAACTAGAACTGATGTACGTATGTACGAAGTTCTACGTTGTTACTGATTGAATGACTAAGGATAGCAAATTGCGAGATTCAAAAATGTAACCTGCTAGGGAAAGGTAATCAGCTTATGTTATTCGATATATATATTTTTTGAACACATGAATATTGGTACAAAGGAGCACCGAATACATATGTGCAACACAAGTCACTTGATTTGTGTGTAGGATGTGCCCAAACCGAAGCTTATGAATCATCTACGACATGGTACGATGTTTTGAAGAATGGGAGAACAGAGATAGTGATATCAAGAAACACCAATTCGTGAGGTCAGACTACCGATCTTGACATTCGGTACGTGTCATGATGAATAGGAAATTGATTAATATCCCACGACCCAATCTTGTTTAATGTTGTATGATCTGCAGGTATCACTGGATGATAACAGACCATACTGTGATTCCTAATAAACTGGTTATAATCAAAATAAAACTTCGAAACTTGCCACAACAAATCAAGACGCACGCAGATGAAATTGACAAGAGGAACCGTGGGGAAATCGGAACGGTACCAGCATTAATTGAAGTAAGAATTATTAAACACAGAGAATATGGTTCCAAAAGAAGGAACGGATTTATTTCACGCTAGTAAAGATGAATGTTTCGTTACATTAAGGTTGAGAAGCCACAATTACGTTCTTAGTATTATTTAGTTAGGAACTGTCAGGAAACATATATTCAACTTCATAAATAGTTGGTATTCCGTTACATAGTATTACTTCGCATTGTCAATCGTTCCTAAAAATAGTGCAGCACAGTAGATTTAGACGTGACCAAACATTGCTCGGAATAGAAGCGGTCACGCTTCAACTTTAAGTATGATATATGAATCCCCACTTAGTTTTGCTCTTCTTCATCATACCTTCCTTTCTCTACCCCTTTACAAGTTTATTTGTGTGGCGTATATATATATATATATATATATATATATAAATTGGTGCCGTTGTACCAATGTTTACGTGTTTAAATAAATAAATCTGTCAACCGGTTAGTATTTTAACAACTGAAATATATTCACAACAAATCAAAACCAAAAATACTGATTGAAATCCCCAAGATAATAAATTTAGGTCTTAAAGTGTAGAATATTATGAATGTCTACCACACTGCAAGTAGTGAGTACTGTTAATCTCCTGGATTTTTACAAATGTAGCTAGTGTGTTTAGTATTCTCTCTACAATTTTACATTGATATAAAAGGAGACGAATTTAGTTAGGACCTCGGATGCCTTACCTATAAAATTCACTTGTTCTGTATACTTTGTCCTAACAATCACTGTCTACGTTGATGTTTGAGTTGTCTTCCATTTATTACATAGAACTGTAGTTTGAAACTACCTCAGAATTAATCTAGGTTTTAATCTGTTTTACAAAAACACAGGTGTAGTGAAAAGAATTCAAATAACTCTTTATTGCTTAAGTTTAAACACCCACTCTCGAAATGCACTTACATGGCCACGCGTATAAAGCCACTGTCAAGAAATCTTACTCACTACCTTCTTGCTGCGGGAATGTTGTTTACGAAATCGAGAGAACGAAAAGCGAATATCTGGCTCTTTAATCGGGTCTGCGGATATGGAGGATCCACCGAGGGGAGTTGAAGAACCCTGATCCCAAACCAGTGGTGCACATAGGCTCCAGTATCTTGAAGGAAAAAATGGCGTATGTACCAACCGTTGGTTACTGGCTATCATGGGACTGCATCTCTTAACGTTGCTCCATTGCCTTGTGGATTAGACCTCTTGGTGAAAGGCTCTGGGTGTGGCTCCCTAAGAAAACCACCCGTGCAGTATTACAACTATCACGCAAATCGAATGATTTGTGTGGCAACTATGTATTCAATGCTTCCTTGTATCAATGTTTTTAAGTAAATAAAAAATAAAGGTTTCAGTCCCAGAACCCAGTATACAGACCATTTCGAGATCGACGAAAATAGCAAAGATGTATTCAAGTTTAGTGCACTTTAATTTTAAAGAAACTTTCTTTACCTCTCGCTTAATACTCCCGTGTTGCGTCTCCTTTTTTTATGATTTGTAACAGTCTGTGGATGTTTGCCAAAAACTACTAGCCGTGAAGGCTTCATGAGTAAGGAATCAAGTTTTTGACTGAAAAGTCTACAGAAGATAAAAATCAAATATTATGTTGAACTAGGTAACAACACAAAATCTAAAGCTGTCACCGGCAAGCTGAGGCGAAAACAGATGGCTTATAACAGTGCTAAGCTTTAAAGACCTTAAGTAACCGATCGATGATTTCTAGGATAATTTTCAAACTCATCACGTTCACGGGAAAACTACGAATATGAAGGGCCGTATAACCGTCATATTATTTTTATACAGTCGTGAGACCTCCACAACTAGATCAGTCACATTAGGATTCTAGTCTTAATTGCACTATGTAGCATGGTCAGTTCTGCGTAAACAATTGCTTTTAAATGATTGTAAATCTGGGGCGAAGTAATTAAGCATCTTCTAAAAGACATAAACCTCGGCCTCCAGTTACTACAGCAAACTTACAACGCATATAAGAACTCTAAGCTCTGGCCAATGCGATGCAGGAAACAGCTGTTGGACAGAAGAGTGATAAGTGTGGTCTGTATGGTTGCTAGACCACTGCACAAACCCTCCTAGTAAGCTCCGACATGATGATCCAGAGCCACGCCGAGAAAGGGAAGTGTAGTCACCATCCAAACCATACATCTTTCCTAATGCAAATGCTAAGCGTATGAAAATATTATATACACATACCGAACGCTGCAGTCCCAGATGCACTAGATGCCATCCCTGCAGATGTCGGAAAATTATTTTCAGATTCCACACTCAAAAAAGAAGGGACCAACCTTCCGTCTAGTCTAGAACGCAACTGCGCTAATTTAAGGAATAAAATTGTGAGTAAAGACATACCAACTATTATTACATCTAAAAGCCTGCCTGGAAATTGCATGATCCTAAGAAATACTCACGAGCAATCCGATGACCCACTTTCCGTTAAGTTTGAACAGTGACTCCTTGAGGTCATTCCTTGTTAACACTTTAGATCTGGTTCCGACCTGTATGTTTCTTATAAGGTTTAACAATTCAACAAACATGAGACTGGTTTAAAGTAAGACTTATGGAAGAGGTGGATGGATAAATGTTTAAATCATCACTTTTACCCCCTATGGGAAATGTTAGTTTTCATAAAATGCTACTCACAATACTTGAGTAAAGCTATGTTTATCGGACAAGTAACCTCGATTTGCATTGGCGCCAAGTCACGTTAAAACTGACAGTGCCGCTCCACAATTTTCGCCATTTACAATATGTGTGTAACAAACAAATAAAAACCGAATTTTTCCATTGAAGTCATTACATGATGTTGCTCTGAGATTTCAGGTTCTTGTTTCTCACAATTTGCTACTCAACTGCAATAATTCTATTGTATTAAGTATTTTGGCGATATTCCAGAGCTGAAAAGAGATTGGTGAATTCGGCTGTGACTGAAGTCCAAGAATTTACTATAAGGTGAAATTGAATGGTACAGATCACCTGTGCACTCTCTTAGCACAATGGAGTGAGTGATATAAAAACTCAGCGAATTCAATAATCCAAATTATAGAAACGTTCATAACAAAAAATTTTAATAGTTCAAGTGGTTCCGGACGGAGTAGAAGAGGCTTGGACTTGACGGGCCTCTTCATCTAGTGACAGTGGACCGCTGAATCCTCCAGACAGAGACTTGGGTATATTACATAAAAAAATTAAGCATCCTAATTGAGTAAATTGACTTATAATTGCTAGGAATGTATACCAGCAAACCTTTTTGACTTAAATTGGTATTTAGTTATCTGCACTCTTGCTCAGCTAATGAAGTGTGTCTTCTATGGACTGCTGATTGTGAGGATAACTTCGAAAAACCTAGATACTTTGAAACACCTGTCTAATTCTTTTGAATAATGTTATATTAAATATGCCGAAAACCATTAAAAACCGAGACTCAACTAGTGTGGCCACTTTCTGAACGTGAAACGGGTGTAATGTAACAAAACGAATATGGGCGACGCTTCAACGTTATCGGTGCAAAGTTTTCTCGGAAGGCATTATTAACGTTATTCGTGTAAGACCTCAGATCGTATGATACCAGCACTCCTAGATATTTTTCAACTCGGGATACCTCTAGAGGCGAGTTACCGAAGTTAAAGTTATAGATTGCAACATGTCTCACATGGACTACCTTCTACTTCGAAGTGTTGAGAGTGGGTCCATTGTTGTCCGCCCAACTTTGAAGTCCTCCCGAAGAGCCAGTTAATTCTCTCGGATACATACTTCTCTCCGGTATTTCACATCATCAGAGAAAAGTAAAACATCTAATCGTGCCAGCTGCGAAAGATCACTCATAAAAATCAAGAAGGGAAGAGACCCCTGTATTGAACCCTGACGGACCCCACTAGGACATTCCATAGTTCTATAGAAAGAGAAGCTAACTGACTAAGCGCGCTTTTCGAATGGGAAGCTTAGTACTAACGTGATTTGCATTTATGAAACTTTTGCTGTGTTCTTACGCAACAAAAGCACCATTTCAGTTCTAAAGAATCTATCCTGAGCTATACGTTCGGTAGATTACTTTTTTTGAGTTTCACCATATGTAATAGTTACCTGTGGTTTTGCCTCAGCTTACTATTCGGTTTTTTTTCGTTTTTCACGTACAGACTAGTTTCAGTTTATATCACTCGTTTGATCCATTTTTGTCCGTTTTCATTGTGCTTTTTAGTGTTTTTTAAAGGTCTTAGGCTTTTGCAAGCATCTATAACATAGATTGCTTCAACATAATCATGAAAAACTCATGCAAACGTCCGGGATGCCGTTTCGCTGTTGCAACTGGTATGCAGTGCGACAACTACAAAGGTTGGTTCCACGAAGCATGCACAGATCTAACATCAACTGCTTACAACAGACTCGGCAAGTCAGACCAAAAATGGGTGTGTGTCACGTGCAGCACGGACGCTGTAGTCTTGCTGAGTAACATCATTGTCCTACTGACAGGTCTTCGGAACAAGTTGTCAGTTAACTTGGACAACGACAGTAAGAAAACCGGTAGACAAACAAGAGCGTGCGACGGATACAAAAACAGGAATGTCGATAGGTATACCATCGATGGAGCATCCATCAACACTAATGATGACGTGTCGAGGCTCAGCATCATCATTACGTCGAAGGTATTAGACTCCCTAAGCAAACTCGGATCTCCCAGCTCAGGGTCCCTGAACACAACAGTGGTTCCCAAAAACCCTATAGGTGATTCGACCCACGTTAAGAGAGCCCAAAAGAACCAGGCATCACCGCCTAAGCCCAGCAACCCAAGTGTTGCTGTACGGAAATTAACTGGTGAGTTGGTCGCACAGTCTACTCCCAAGATTGTTCTTCCTGTCAATAAAGAGCCCAAGCCTCAAAAACGCACACTGACCTCCAAACAGCAAGTTGTTAAACATTAACTCACCGTGAAACCTGGTAAATTAACAACAGTTCGTGACAATTCTCTCATTATCATGAACCTTGTTGATAATCCTGACCTTCTTTTCATGAAAGAAACTGCTATCGGTCGGCAGCGTTCAGGTTTGCTGAGTGGACCTCTTCGGAAAGTTGTTTTGATGTAAGCCAGCCTCTAGTTTTCCGATAACGTGCCTCAGCTTAGCGAATGTGAGATCATCACGCTATGTGTTGTCGCCAAGATTGAAGCGGTTTCCCTCGGTATAGTAGGATGGACCGTATCAGTGCCAGGGAAGTGTTTTAACTTGGATGCTGCGGTTTCTGATTCACCAAGTCAGAACACTTGTTGACTTCTGGGGGTCCTGTTGAGTTGTAGGTGAAGCTTTCGTTGAGATAGCTGGTATGGCACGTTTGAAAATACTGTTCTCCTGGAAGATCAACAACGTCATCATCGTTGTTGGCTGGGCCATTAGGACATAGCAGTTAGAAAACCCCGCTTTTGGCCTGTCGAGGAGAGACTGCATGACGAAATAAGCTTCTAGGATTGGGGACAAATTTATCGATTAGCTTTATTTGATACTGAAGTTTATTTTCTCCTACTGCCTCTCGTGCAGTTGTTTCTTGCTTGTTTGAATGCCTGTATGCACTGTTGTTACCAGGTTGTCTATATTTCACCCAGTAATAATAATAATAATAATTTATTCTCAAATAACAGTTTGTTACATGAGGCATGCCAGTTTACAGGCAAGATCAAATTGATATAAATGATACAATATACACTGTAAAAAATTACATAGCTGGGTTGATATTTTATAAGACATGAATGTAGATGGTTTGAATCAGTACCACAGTTGGCGCGCTTCATGAAAGTTGCGTTGTGAATGTGCGACTGATGGTCAAGGATAGGTCCATTGAAGGTATGAGCTTTTAGAAATCGCAACCTTATGTCCCTTTGGAGTGTCTAAGGCTTTGAGGATCGTGCAGAATGAAATATTTTGTACCATATCACAAGGGGGCTGAAAGAGGGAGAAAGTAAAAGAGAACACGAGAGGCAGAGTAGGCAATATTCATGAAGGAATGTTTAAGGTATGATTACTCAGTCTAATTTTCCTTTATTAAGGTATATGTTAAGAAAGAACATTTTAATAGGTGGACATACAACTGACAAATGGGGGCGATTCGGAAAAGAGCTGAGAGTATAAGATTATGTGTGATTATAAAATAAAATATAGTGCTAGAAACAGTATTGTGATATACATTTGGCTGTCTTCCCTTTATTATCGAAGCTATTAGAGCCCCTTTGGTTTTTTTAAATATTTCACCCCCTAGTTATTATAGGGTCTTGATTAGGCTTCGTATATTAGCGAATTGTCTAGTTTACTTGTAATAGGATTTCTGGGTAGGAAGTGAAACCAATTCAACGTTCGTAACACGACTTAAAGAGGTATTTTGCGTGAATAAATCAGCTTCAATACCATAAGTTCATGACATCCCACTAAACCATAAGGAGCCGTAATTAAACAAAATGTTCTGCCCTACAGACATAGGTGGATTGAAGTTATCTCCCCACCTTCATGTTTGCTTGTCAGTAACGCCACCCTCCCTCCTTAGTAACCTTTGTGGCTCGGAAAACGAAGATTCAGACTCTTGATGACTGTGGGCTGCCTGTAAATTTTGTGGACCGTTAGCAGGACATACTGCTTTGTAGCTGTTATAACTTGTAGCCTTGTGTCCTATTAATATATAAATTGATGATACCGCCAATTGGAGAACAGTGATTTATCGACTGAATCAATGACACACAAACCTGTACGAGCAGTCCAGAGTTTTTATCAATCCTTCTTCCCGCCTAGCCCTGTCTGTTAAATCCAGAACACCAATCTGAGCCTCTGCGATACGAATCACGTATTTGAATCATACTGGATATATATAAAAGCCAAACAGGCCACATTGTACTATGAAGTAGAAAATAACATTTGTACAAGATTTAGCCAAAAGTGGCTGGGAATGTTGGAGATAGTAATTGAAAGACTGGCATAACTCAAGAACGGTTAGTCGTATTATAATTATTCATGTGTCGAAATAAAGCTTGTGATAAAAGGAACACGAATAGAAATAGTTCAGTTACTTAGCAATTATATGATAAAAACATATGTACAGTATTATTCCAGAAATACAACACAACAGTTACCATCCAATATTGTCGTCGGGATATAACACCTCCTCTTTTTATGAAGATTCGGGGTTGATATCCGGACTTTAAATTTCTCAAATTTACCTTCTCCCACGAAATAGTGTTCAATCTTCTTATCCCCAAGTCAAAATTAATGTGACTTTATTTAAAACGCATTTCTAGCACTTAATAGAGGATCCACTAAAAGTGACTAGATGGTGAAGATCAAAGACACTTGATATGAGGTCATCAGCGTTTGATTCTTCTGAAAGATTCTCATCAGATTTATTGAAAATCTCATCAGTAAATAATGAATCACTAGGATAATCAGCATCCAACAAAATTACATTAGGTTCTTCATTGTCATTTGATGCATCCGATACATTCTTCTCATTTTTTTAAGGAGTTTCATCAAAAATCTGTGAGTCAATAAGATAACCGACATCTGGTAAAGCAACAAGAGAATCACGATATTAAGAGTCACCAGAAGCTTTTGTCGCAAATTACTGAGCTCCATTTGGTGCAACCGTATTCATTATACTGCTCGATTACTCGTGAGCGAGTACTGCGACCATTTTATACGTATTTAATAAGACATAGTCTGT